CGCCCCGGGCGAGGGCGCGACCGAGGCGGCGCGCGGGCTGTGCTCGGGTTTGCATCTCTACGGCCGGGAACGCGCCGGCGGCCGGCGCCCCGGGCGAGGGCGCTACCGAGGCGGCGCGGGGAGTGCTCTGTGTTCGGGAGGGATTCTGATGGTTACTGCTGTGACGGACGGTCGTCCAGCTCGAGCTGTCCAGTGCTCGCACCTCGCGATGTGATGTTGCTCAAGTGCTCGTGAGATTGTGGTGTTACTCACAATACAGCAAAGCCAACGCAACATTCGCTTTGCAAGTTACAACACGGTCTACACTTCCATAGCCCTCTGTATACGTGCCGATGGACCGAGGCCCTTGGTGCTTCATGTCAATTTTTATTCAATTTAAGTCGTCACCGTTTTGTTTGCTTGTTGCAGTTAACTGAAATACGTGTGGTATGTGTAGGTAAGTTTATTATTTATTGTGAGGCATGTAACTAACATAATTACGTAAATAATTCAACCTGCGTGTTAACAGATGAACTAAATGTGAGTCATTGACGCTATCACCTGTAAAAGTATTATAATTAATTATTTTCACTTTCAACACACAGAACCATCGCCCAGGAGCCTTTTTCGTTCGATTTCGAGCCGTCAAGAAGCCCCTGTCTCTCCTCTCCTCTCCTTCGCCCGCTGCTGGTGAGGCGCCAAAGTCGCGCAGCTCGACGTCCCTGAAACTGAGCGGCGGGCTCTCCGATTTCTGACTGACTGTGTGCCGTGACGCGTGACGTCTGAGCTCGGTGTCGGCTCCCCGGTGTGACGGCCGTCACCCGTCACACCTGTCACAGCGGCCCTGGCCGTCACGGTCCAACGCTGCGCTAGCGTCCGGTGACGCGACGCTGTATTTGTATTTATTTGTTTTAACTCGGCGGGCACACACAGAAGGTCTGATTGTGGAGGTAACAGCCACAGTGCAGTGTGTAGACTGTAAAGTAGAGTGTAAAGGTAGTGCCAGTGAGCCAGGTACCCGGAACCGAAGACATCGTTTATTTAGTTTCGTGTCGGGATCGGCTGTGACGGATGACTGTATTTGGGTTGTTCCTTGACAGTCAGCTAATCTATGGGCTAGGTATGCTTAGTGAAGCAGAAGAACAATGGGCCTAATAAATAATGCAAAAAGTCTAGCATTAATTAAAACATATTTGTGCATAAGTGGAAACATTGAGATTCTCCGAGGTTTTATTCAAGTGAATTGTAAATAGAATGTAAACCTTAGATCGGCATGAATGACAGCACCGGCTTAGGGGATTCTTACTAGCTAAGCTTAGTTTATTTTTCTTTAATTAATAAATGCCATCCATGAAAGCGAGCGTAATAGCTAGTCATTGACAACAAGCATCACCAAGTCGTTGAATAACTCGCAGAATGTATGTGGGTACCCCGTGACCTCGCCGACCGAGCCAAAGACGCAAGCCGGGCGTGTCTTCTTCCAAAATAAATACAAAAGCCTCTTACAGTTGCGCTCTGTTACATAAGACCGTGTACTGGCGATATGTGGTCAGGTTGGGCTGTTAACCATGGGTTGCCGTACCTGCACGATCATTGTCAGTGTTGCAGTGCAATCGCCCGCTGTCTGCTAACTGACGGCTGTTGTGACAGCTGCTCTGTCTCCATACAGATCACATTATTACAGTCATTTCTGGGAGACCGGCCGGCCGCGCCCCATTCCGAGAGACATTCCGCCGCCGGGCACCTGAAGCCAATTACTCTTCTTGGCCCCAAGGCCGCAGTGGCGGTGGACGGGCCGGTGCCGCTGGCTGGCGCCGGCTCTCGGGCACGGGGACAGACGAGACCGTTCCACCGGCGGCGCCGCGCCTGGCAGGGACGGCGGTGCCCACTGCCAGACCGCGCCCGGACCTAGCCCTGCCGACCGACACCACGACGGCAGCGACATTGAACACGGAAAGGCCTGTGACGAAGCGGTGGTGCTCATGCTGCCCAATGTTGCCCATCATGAAATATGTAGTTCTTTTACCCGTATTTTCTTTATTTTTAAGGATAGTTCAGAAAATCCAGATGTTTTAACGATTGTTGGCATTAATTTACATATTCATGTTCGATTTTTTTTTTCGTTGACTGGATATGAAGTAGGTAATGACATTTTCATTCATAGCACATTTAAGAGTGTATTGATTGAGAGCAACTACCATTACTTAATTCTTGCTATGTATTTATTTAAGGTTGATATTCGGGTGAACATTTTTCCCTATCGTCCCGAGCCGTCCTCTCCCCGATCTTTCCCTCCCCTTCCCACGGCCGCACCCTCGGACAATGCCGCGACCCGGTGCTCGTTGCAGTTGCGGCCGGTAAAAATAGCCCAGAGCGGCTGGTATGTATGCCGTTTCAGGTGCCAGATGTCGGCAGGACCCTTGCGCGTCTCGGGTCCACTTCTGGACACCACCGACATGACTCTGGTGTTGCCAAGAGCAGGACTGCCGCCGCCGGACGGCAGAGCAGGGGAGAGAGACAGAGCGCCGGAGGGCGGGGTTATAATCATGGAGCGTGATAACCTAGTTAGCGGGCGGGGTTCGGGCGCCGCACCGCGCGATACTGCGTGCCCCCAGCTTCCACCTGTGTGGGGACTGGGGAGTGGGGAGCGGAGGATACATGGAAACTCAGCCGGTGTGAGCTGACCGAGTTTGGAGTGGGGTCGCCCGCGATCGTCGTTCGCTCTGAGGTCTGAGAGGCCTAATTATTCTTATTCGTGTCGTTTGTAATGCATTATGCGCCATAATGGTCTGATAACCAGTTTGATGTACTAAAACTACTTTGGTACAGGTATTGCATTGTAAAACCCGATTTATTGTATCATTTTGTTGCGATAAACCGGAATTTCAAAACATTTCAGGTTATTACATCATCTTATGATGCAATAAATTGAAATGTCAGGATTTAACGTGAAAGGTCGGGAAAAAAATTTACAGCGACATCTGAGAACGTTGTAATAAATCGGGTTTATTACCTCACGCGACTTGCACAGATTTTGAACAAAGTGGAAAGACGTCGCTGTTTCACATGTGTGCATCCCTCTGACACATTGCACAGAGCACACTATCTCACTCCATATTTAGTGGCGGTGGCTCGGACGGAGCACGAGATCATCTGAATAATATATCTCTCCCAGAGACGGCGCGACGTGCTCCGACTCCTTCCGCAGATAGAGACACTAACAACTCTACTCAGCTGGGAAGTGTGAAGCTCTGCTGAAAATGACCTTAACGGCATTGGGCTTAAAAGATTCGCTGCCGCTAGAGTCACAAATGGTCTAAATCGCTTCTATGATGTGGTCTCAGAGTTCTAGTTGGACACTTTTCTTTAACGTTGGCGGTAGTGAGAAGCTCAAGGCAATTGGGCCTTTCTTTGGAATTAAATTACTTTTCTGGCTCCTTTGTTTTTCATTCTTCTGCTTTCTTATTATTCGCTCCCTTCTAATCCTCTCGTCTCTTTCACTCTCCCCTTCTCCCTTCCTCTCTCCCTTCCTCTCTATCTCCTCCCTCCCTTTCTCTTCTCTCTCCCTTCCTCTCCCTCACCCTCTCCCTCTCTTGCTCTCTTTCCCCTCTCTCTCCACGGGTAAATCCTCCCTTGATCCACTGCACGCTCATTGGTTCTAGCGCTTGTTGACCGTACAGCTGGACGGCGGCTGAGTCGCTATGAGGCCCGACAGAGAGCCTTGTTATCCAACACACCCGCCAGTCGGTAATTCAATGCACAACTGTGTCTGTGAAGGGCTGAATGCAGCGTAAGGTAGGTCTATACCTTCAGCAGTCTGCAAAGTGATGACGTCAGTTGTTACATATGACACCTGTGAATCGCGATCCTTCATGACGTCGCGTTTTCAGTTCTGACATTGTTACTGAATGGTAGTGTCAAGTGTGGCTGTCAAAAGCGCTGCAGATCCTTGATGGTAGTTCAGCCTCTTTTTAAACTCATAATCTAAGTAATCTTAATTAGTTTCATAAGGCAAGCACTTGTTGGTATTCAGCGATACCTAATGTGTTAAATAACTGAATTCACCTCTTACTCATGATTACTTCACGTTGGCAATTGTTTTATTTCCTAGTTCAGCGACCTCAAATGGGTTCTTTATTGTTTATTGACTGGTTCAAAGGCCTTCACTGCAGAAGATCTGTCTGTGTTATTGTAATTAAGGCTCTTGGATGCAGGATGGCAACGAGCAACAGTTTTCAGTGTCTTAGCGGAGAATCTGCATAATGCTCCTTTGTGTCCGTTTCAGGTATTTCTTAGTGTAATCAAAGCTATCATCTCCTGAGATGAAAGACAGAGAGAGAGAGAGAGAGAGAGAGAGAGAGAGAGAGAGAGAGAGAGAGAGAGAGAGAGAGAGAGAGAGAGAGAGAGAGAGAGAGAGAGAGAGAGAGAGAGAGAGAGAGAGAGACAGAGACAGAGACAGAGACAGAGAGAGAGAGAGAGAGGGAGAGAGAGAAGAAAAAGAGGGTGGGAGGGAGGGAAGGAGAAAGACAGAGAGAGAGAGAGAGAGAGAGAGAGAGAGAGAGAGAGAGAGAGAGAGAGAGAGAGAGAGAAAGAGAGAAAGAGAGACAGAGAGAGAGAGAGAAAGAAAGAAAGAGAGAGAGAGAGAGGAGGGAGAGGGAGGGAGAGGGAAGCAGGGAGTGAAGAAGAGAAAGGAGAAGAAGGACATTTTTAACATTTGGAAAAGGTTGATTGACAAGTGTTGCTCTGATGTTGCTGCCGTAGCGGGCATGGTGCTCCTTCGTCGCTGGCTCTGATTAATTCTGGCTCAGTGCATCTCTATGTACGAAATCGGCTTGAACCTGCAGCTCTGTTTTCTCTTGTTTTCTCTTGGAAAAAAATCCCAGGAGTGTCTCACTGAAACCGATTCAAGAAAATTTCCCTGGCCCAATCAATGTCACCATTAATGTCTGACTTTACCATCCAAGCTTGACTCGGCCCGGTGCATTCACTGAGAAACTATTGGTTTTGCGGCGCGGCGGCTGTGTCCCTCATGGTCATTGATCAATCTCCGGTGTTCCGGACAGCAGTCGTTCCGGTTCCGGATCCGGTGACGTTGTTTCCGGATCCGGTGTCGGCGGTTCCGGGTCCGGGCCGGCTCCGGCACCCCGTGTCCCACTCGACTGGGCTGGGCGGCCGCGGCTCCGGTCCCAGTGGGCTGCCCTATTTCGGGAGCCCGCCGGGGTATAAAAGCGTCGCGTCGCGCGTGTCCCCGCTCGAGTCTGATCCGGTCCGGTTGGCGTTCGGCGAGGCGGCGGTGTGCTCTCTCTCTCTCTCTCTCAGTCTCCAGTGCAAATCTCTCTCTCCCTCTCTCGGATCATCCGGCGACACAGGTGCGGTGAAGAGAGGCGCTGCTCGCCCTCTCTCTCTGAGTGGGGAGCGGCGGCGCGCAGTGGCTGTCCGTCGTCCGCCGGCCGCCGCCGCCGTCAGTGGCCGCCGCAGCGCTGCACGGAGGGGTCGCCGGCGGGCAGCGGCTGCCACCCGGGCTGTGTGTGCGTGTGTGTGACCGCGTGGGCTGTGTGCGAGCCGCTGGAACCTGGCTGCGGCACTGCCACACTGTGTGCTCCGTCTCTGCTAGACGCTGACTGTGACGTGTGTGCTGCTTCAGTAAGGCCGGACTGCTGGTAGGAATGATAACGGGAGTACCGCTAACTTGTGACGTTGTCCGATTTACTCTCAGTAGTACATGGTTACACTGGAACACTTGTGCCTGGGACGCTATACATTTATGTTGTTTGGTACAGCCTGTTCGGTCGTTCTAGGTATATCAAGCATATTTTTCCTGAATTAGATGTCACGTCGTCCTGTCAATGTAAAAAGTCCATGTTTAAAGATTAAAGATCCTCGCGATTACTAGAAATATAATCCTTCATCCAGTAGTAAATTTGATGTTAAGTTTCAGATCTACTTTCAGCAATTGAGTTATTTTTAAGTCGCCACTGCATAATCAGAAAGCTTCTATAAAAAGGTATGATAAAGGTCTAAAACGGTCCAAAAGTGACTGGACTTAACTATTTTGATATTGTTATGTCATGATTCATTCCTAAATTGTATTTCACTGTCGTTTTCTTTTCTGAAGTCATATCCACATCATCAAACATACGAAGCATCAAATCAACTTGCGTTTTTATGACCGTTGGAGATAGTGGTTTTGTCTCAAATGGAAAGGACAATTTTCAGCTGTGAGGTTTTTTCATATACTTAAAAGTCAGTCGGAAAAGGTACAAATGCTGCACTGCTAACTTCCACAAAGCGCGTCACATGCAACTTGCCATGTTACATATAGCGCACTGCATGCTACAGAAATGCTTTTAGAGCTGCGCCACGCGCCTTTACTGAGCGCTCGCCTAAACTGCACGTCATATGTTACAGAAATGGCTTACAGCTGGGACAACCGAGTCAAATTCGTCGTCCGGTACATGTATGGTAAGTAGTTGTCCTTAGAAAATATCGTCAATGAAGAGAGCGTGTTATAACTACATGAATGGAACTAATGAGGCTAGTGGGCACTGGGTATTTTAAATGTCTTCCAAGTACTGCTTTGTTCAAGTTCTGCGCATTCCTTTCGAAAACTTTCCATTCCAATCGGCGTGATTATGTGCTATTACTAAAATAGCCCGGCCTCAGAATTACAAGTTAAGTCAATTGATGTCTATTCAAACGATGTAAAGGGATGAAAGTTTAGAATAATGAATGTGAGGAATAAATTCGTATGCATTTAGCTAGGTCCAATATTGTTTATTTGTGATGCAATTTATACTTTATGCATAGATAACAGTAGAACAGTAGACAACAGTTCTACTGTTCTACGGTTCTACTGTAACAGTTCTACTGTTATCTATGTCTTATATAATAGGTATAGTAGAAAAGACCATTTCATATTCCTTGGTTTTTGTAGATGCGGCCGTCTAAGAGGGAGGGAAAGAACCAATTAACGTCGTTGCGATGCGTTGCGCCTTACCCAGTTACAAACTTTTATAGTCTGTCGTAGTTTTCAAAGTCCAGTTAAGGTCTTCTTTATGGTGCAAAAGCTGACACGTGAGGTGCATCTGGAAACAGCATGGGCTTTACTGGGCAGCACTTCCTAGCTTTTTATGACTCGTTAACCATATTAGTGGCAGGCTTCTGGCTACCCCTATTAGTGGCAGGGGGCTGTTTAGGACCCCCGTTGATATCTCGAGATCTAACCGGCCGATTTTTAAAATTCAAACGGCATTCGATAAGAGAAAATTCCCAAAAAAGCAAATAGGGGGCAGTAGGTGGGTAAAAGCAGCAAATTGCAGATAGTTTTTTTTCAGCTGCTCACCACGGCCATGTTTTTAAATAATTTTGACGCAACGACTGCCAATTGATGCAGAATGAACCGGAAATTAGCATGCATCATCAAAATGGGCATTTTGAAAAATCATAGGCGTAATCGCGGATACAGGTAAATATATTCGGGAGGTACTTAAGATACATAAAAATTTGGGTTTTTTCCGTTGTGGCATTGCCAAAGCGGATTGGTAATGGTCTTTCGATGTTACAAAATGTGTGATATAATGACTAAAAGTAGACTGGCAATTTATAGGCGGCGTCAGGGCCTCGAAGTTGGGAGGTGAAATCGACCTCCCTTTCTGCTTTCCTGGAACCACCTATGATCCATCTCTTGCTCACTTGTGAACCTGTAATACCTACAAATAATGTTGATCCACCTACACAATGAATACCTACAGTTATAATGCACCAGCATAGTGATCTTCACCCAAATGACTCACTTCATGAATAGGGCCTCCCAATTCCCGATGCCCTGTAACCGCCCCTGATAAAGGAATCAACTTGAAAATTTCAGAGGATGTGCCCAGTTTAGTTTTAAGAAAGGTCAGAAAATTTCAGCATCCTAGCTCTAGCCGTTTCGTAGGTTTTTACGAAAAACCTGAGGGGGGATGAAAACAACCCCCCTGCCACTAATGGGGTTAATGGGTGAGGATTCACTGGGACTCTTGTTATTGCATACCTATATGTAATCTAATTCAAAATCTTACTAGACATCTGCTGCAAATCGTAGCTCTAGCACTGCCATGGTCATAAAGCTGAGTCTCCGGTGTCATTTTTACCAAGTGACAAGGTGTTTCTTTCATTATCTAATGGTGGTGGAAAGACGTGCAACGAGTTTAAATGGATTGCTTGGTACTTTGTATTTACTCTTGGTCAAATAATCCACTGATATCTGCTCTAGTTGTGTAAATGTATAACAGCACGGCCAACAAATACTTCCCACTTTCCATTCATAATTTCTGTTTCAAATTCGCCCAGCGAGATCTACCGTTCACCGCGATAGACGGCTGATCTGTCGGCCGCTGGGAGATAGACTGTACCGCCAACAGCTCTGTCGTGCGGTACAGCCTACCTCCTCCCCGGAGATCAATGCAGAGAGCTGTCGAATGTCGATCGTGCGCGTGCCGCGTCTTATTGACCGAGTTGGAAAACGCTTTTTATATTAGAAATAGGCGATATGCTTGCCCGTATGACAAGCTGTCTAAAACTTAACACGGCTAAGGCAATTGATCAACGGGATTATGGGTTCCGAATTATGGACGCCATACTTATGAGTTACATCTTAATTTTATTACCCTTCAGATATCGACAACAATGGATACTTAGACAAGAATGACTTCGAGTGCTTGGCAGTGCGGACAACCGTTATTGAGAGCAAAGGAGACTTCACACAGGAAAAGTACGAGCAAAACCGCAAAGTCATGCAAAATCTCTGGAACGAAATTGCAGATCTCGCTGACTTCAACAAGGTATGTAAACGGCTGCGTATGTCTGGCGCTATGTAGCTAGGAATTGTCATGAATCATTACTTGTGACTGGTTTGATTTGAAATTTAGTATGGCACATGGTTTTGCCTTCTAAAACATTAAGTGATCACACGATTAGTGATTTATGAAATATGTTTATCACATTTGGAAGTCATCAAGCGAACTAATCATTAAAAAAATGGTCGCTGTCGCTTTTTTTTTAATTTGTCCACACACTTCTCACACACCTGATTATACCCGAACCCAGCAGAAAGTTTTATTTTAGTTTCAGTTACATTGTGTTCCTTTAAATTCTTAATGCAAAAACGTAAGTTAAATTTCATTGTTCCAGGACGGAATGGTTACCGTTGATGAGTTTAAGGAAGCCGTCCAAAAAGTGTGTGTCGGAAAGGGATACGATCAGTTCCCCGAAGCCTTGAAGGCCTTCGTCAGTAAAATTTTTGAATCTATCGACCTAAATGGTAAGCGCCTAACCCAACAGACCAGTCAAATGAGATGTCTGGATTAGGCAGTCTTATCCCGGCTTATGCAAACTGATTTAATCGTAACCTAAATATTCACTGCTGAGATAACGAACCAACATAAATTGTCAATATAATTCCCAAGCATCTCCTTTGATAATAAAGGCTTTAATCTTTGTTAAGATTATTTGTTTAATGTTTTGAAGACTTTTATTGGCTTTTTACTTAATGTGTGGCTTCATTATGCTTGAAATATTCGCGTTCGTATTAATGCTGGGATTTTAAAATGGGACCTTTCTCTGGTATTTGAATAACCAATTACTAACGCATTTCTATAAAGTCTGGACATACCAAAGAGACCATCAACTATGCGAGAATGTTGACCTTTAGGTAGGTACGTAATAACGGAACGATGCAAAATAACGGAAAAAAATCACCAGCCACCATCTACGTAATGCTAACCTTCATTTTTGTTGAAGGGTGCACCGATGTGCACTTTAAATATTTTCTAGCTAGATTATGGTTCTTTCCTTACCACTTCACGACACTAGCTTCCAATTAGTTACCAGACTACACACAAGATCACCTACGCAGACACGCCTTTGATCAACTTCATTACATCGCTTCCTGCATTGTCTTGTTTTTTGTCCAGTGTTCTTTTTACATGGCATGATTTTGTTTTATCCTTATTTACACACATACATACAAGGCATAACGCAACATTTTCTGACCTGTCATTAAATTGATACAGGACTCTGTCACTTTGATGGTAGCTTCTTCACTCACTCGAACATGTGCCTCACAATTGTGACGTCCTCGCATTGCCTCCACTCACCTGTGACTGTCTCATAAAGTGTGGCGTCTTTGAATCTGTGTGATCGTCGGCTTTGCGTCCGGGTGCCGTGGCTAATGTCTGTAGCTATCCGTCTCTGAACCAGCAGAGGACGGGGACTGGCGCTGTGTCCGATGGTCCGCGGGTCCACGGGACCCCGGACCCCGCGGCACCCCCAGTGACCCCCTGACCTCCTACCCAGGACGGACAGGTCTCAGTCGACGAGTTCAAGAGCGCTGTCAAAAACGCCTGCGTCGGAAAGCCGTTCGAAGACTTCCCGTCGGCACTTAAAGCGTTTATCTCGTCTCACTTTAGCACAGTGGACGTGAACGGTAGGGTCGATATGCCCCTACCCCCTCCAAAGCCCTCCCACCCACACCAGGTGTTGTGACTTTCAGTTGAGCCCTGTGTCGCCCTCCCTCCCTCTCTCCCTCCCTCCCCACCTCCTTCCCTTCATCCCCAACTTCTGCCCAGCCACACAGGAATGCTTGTCGTGCGTATATGTTGCATTTGTGTGCCCTTTCCGCAGCGCCCCATGATTGCTGTTCCGCTTTATACCCCATCTCCCTTTATACACAGCTGGATGCATAATATTTTATATTGCATTTTAGGTGGCAGATGGCGACCCCGCAGTCTGCAGGTTGCCATTCGCACGAGTATTTGTGTATTTTGTTTATTTGTCCGCTCATGGGCCGTATTATTATCAGTTGGAAAACTGGTAAATGTGTACCATCCTTTACTTTTTTTCCTTATTACTCTAACAATGCCCGCGAATTCAAGCTGTTGGAGACGCAAGCCATAAGTGTTGTTTATTTCAGCAATATTCATAAACCTTCTTTCATCCGTCCAAATGTCACCTACATTGGTACAACCAGCTCTGTATAGACGGCCATTCCACATAACTTTACCTTTACTTTGTTGTTGGTAGGCGAGTGTGATGATGATCAATGATCATACAACAGTGCACAACGTGTTTTTACTTATGAAGGCTAGGCGACAACCAGATCAATGAAATCGATCGTCAGTCTACGGGATAATGGACGTAGTTCGAATCTCTCTAATTTGTCAGAGATTTGCGGCAGTTTGTTCAAGAACGAGGCTAAAATGCGATCCAGCCCGTTTCTCATGGTAGCATTGGATTCCACCAATTAATGGCTTACCAGCTTAACGATGATAGCGTTCCGTCGCAGCCGAGCAATGAACCCAACAAAATATTGCGCCATTACTTTGTCTATCTAGCGCTGGAGCCAGGCAGGTGCAAAATAGGCTCGGTTTGCATTAAGGGTCGGCGGTGTGCCCAATCTCCTTCCCACACTAACATTATCCGGTAGAGGGGCTTCATTCTGGCTTGGAAATGTCTCCACAATCGCGTCAACCAGGATGAGGTTTATGAATCAGCCAAAAAGTTATGCCACCTCTGGAAAGAGAGAGAGAGAGAGAGAGAGAGAGAGAGAGAGAGAGAGAGAGAGAGAGAGAGAGAGAGAGAGAGAGAGAGAGAGAGAGAGAGAGAGAGGAGTGAGAGCTAAAGCGAGAGATAGACGCTGTGGTAAAGAGAGAATGAAATAAATTTGCTAACGATCCAATTCCAAGCAAACCCCAACCTTTGTCTAAGCTGAGCCGTAAAGGAAACAAGAACTAGGGATGGGCAGTCAAACTCACCTTGGCAGTAGCTACCTCCGCCTTTGCGAAAAAAAAAAAACACTTATCGTATTCCCAAGAGAGACGCTCACCTTCGTCGGAGACCCACCTCTGCCGGGAAGAGGTCTCTGGGGCCGCCAGCCGTGTTGCTTGGCACAATGGTGACGATGGTTCTCCACACGACGGTGGTCCGACCCGAGAGGACTCTCCATCGATCTGTTATGCGGGATGTGGCGGCCTCGTGTACGTACTTACATCAGCCGGCGGACGGCTGGCTCGGCGAGCTGCTGATTGTCGCGAGCACCGCCCGTGGGAGCACCGCCCTACTCGGAGCACCGCCCGGAGCACCGTCCGGGAGCACGGAGCACCGGACTGAGGCGGCGGCGGGCCCAGATGACGGATCAATGGGTGACAGAGCGGTCGGCGGCTCGTTCCGCTGCGGCCTCTCACGCCCGGCGATGCCATCGTGTCCAGTACGTCCAATGGCGGTCCCGGCGCCTCCCAGCGCGCCCGACGACGGTTCCGTCGCGCCCTCCACGCCCGGCGTCGATCCCGACGCGCCCTGCTCCCCGTCGGCGATCCCGGCGCACAGCCATCACTCACTGGCGGACAATCGGGCCCTGTCCGGAGAGGACCGCACCACTCTCGGGTCACTGCACAGCGCGACACGGATGGAGCATCTGGGACGGACACAGCGGCCGGCGACCCGAGGCCAATGGACTGTGGGAAACGCGTCCGGCGTCCGCACTCTCATCAGGAGACGGGAAGACGTCCGGACTCTCACCAGTAGATGCAAAAGCGTACAAACCAACAGACGCAAAGGCAGCAGGAGACATTTGAAGTCAAGAGCAGATAGCCAGTTATGCAATTGATAGAAGAGTGGGCAGGAAAAAGGCAACAATTTTTATCCTACAGGCGGAAGGAGCACTGGACCCCGTTTACGATTTCTAAGTGGTATAGCTCCAAAATATGGTTTCTAAGCTTAAGCTGCTGGCAAGATTGTCCTATTGGAAGCATGACATACATGTATGTTCTATACCTACCTACCCCGACCAGCAACCGGAGCGGTGGTCCTACGGGTACAACAATGATGGCTGCCTCAGTTTTCTAAGTCTGTGTCTCTCGGTGCTTGTCTGACTGGTATTGTGTCACCACGGACAGGCACCACAGCTCCGGTTTGATTGAACGGGCACATATCATTGACAAACCGACGTCGATGCAATTGCAGGATCCAATAGAGCCGGCAGTGTATCATCAATAGCGAATGTGGTGGTCGCACAAGGGATCCAGACAGCCATCACTCAATCATAGCTCACGGGCGACCAATGATTTTGATTGGAGTGGGGAATGGGGCGCCGATGGCAACGGAAAGGAACAGGAATGGGACTGGAATGACGGGGATGGGACGGAGAGATGCGAGAAGTCAAAATGGACAATGGACAGCGATGTGAGATAGGACGGAAAGGGACGAAGACTGGGCGAAGGACACATACAGAGGTAGAGACATGGACGAGGAATGGCTGCAAGGGAAAGAGTAAAAGACTGGATAATGACGGAAGAAGACGATACTGAAATCGAGCTGAAATAGATGCGGGTCTGATGTGTGATAACTGCCTCAAGGGAGGCAGGAAATGCGACGAAACGACACTGGAATAGGACGGAAGGAAAACGGAGGAAACGAGGCTGGATGGTGCAATCACGACCCTTCTCGGGCGTCTGGGGACCGCTGGTCAAAGGTTAGCGACCTGTGTCGGCGGTGAAGCCGCTCGATACTGGTCAGGGCTCACACGGAACCAATGCGTCTGCCGATCGGACAGACGCCGGCCAGACAGGCCGATTTGCACTTACATAACGCTGTTACGCTGAGGAAGACGGAAGAAATCGGATCCGGGGATATCAGGAGTATTACATAGATAGATTGTCGGATAAAGTAGGAATGAGTGATGTGGAAACTGGAAGAGATTATGTGGAAAGAAGAAAAGACGAAGAGATGAACTCAGAAATAGCCTCATGGTAGATGCTTCCATCCATGCGATCCCGCATTATTGGTTAAAAGTTGATTTTCGGGAATCGGGAGCCATCACTTTTCGGGAGAGTGATATTTCATCTTTATTTTATTTTTAATTTATTAGGTACATTTTAAACATGCGCTTATAAGTCATAAACTCTTATGTTACGTGAGTCGGCACTCCTAGGTCAATCAATTGAATTTTTCATATCCTTACAAAGGCCAATATTCCCACCCAAGCACATTTTTTTGCGTGCGATTAACAGCTACATCTCCAAATCTCTGCCGAATCGTCGTCAAGCTCTGTTCGTTCGTCTCAAACTCTGCCGGAGTTTCGGCGCCGGTGGCAATGGCGGCGGCCGGCGCGCTGGAAATGTCACCACTCTGCGGCGTCTCCTTAGGGATAGGTCGCCGGTCAGGTGGGCGAAGGTCGCAGCAAAAATGCATCGCCAAACACGTGCCGGTTCGCCACGTGACACGTCAGTAACGAGTGACAATGCATCGACCACATGTGATGCACGTCAGCGAAATAGGTCTCATTGTTTTCGGCATCAATGGTTTGACGTTTTTCTTTCCATGAGAGACAGGTTGTCTTCCCTGTACCTACCAGTGCGGACATTGGTATAGCATGTCCCTTTTCGTTTCCTGTGTAATGTATCTAAATGTCATCACCGAATTTCCCCTTTGCATGTGTGCCCCAGCCACGCATGGTTGTCGTCTTCGATGGATTATGATAATTATAATTTTAAACTTCCCAGAGGGAGCTGATGGACGGATATATCTCGCTCATGAGCGCTCAAGAAGTTCTTGCTGTCATTTTTGCATCTGTTTTTGTCTTCGATAGCATCAAAATAGCTCGGTTTGGAACAACATTCAGCGTTAATTTAGGAATTTTTATACAACTAAGACACTCGTTATCATTTTTTCTTGAGATGTGTGTCATAAACTCACTCGATTGAATAATTTAAATTGACATATAGAGTGTGTTAATGACCATGGGCCTATGCGATATCACAATGTTTAATGCGTATGCATCCTTATTTTTACATGTTAATCCCACGGTATTCATCAATTAGCTACCTGACTGAACGCATAAATCCTCCAAGATTACTTGTTAGCGTTGATTGTTGAAGGGTTTCAGTAGTTATATCCACCAAATTCACCCTCACGGACTCTCCGTAGCATTATCACCACGAACGTAATTCTAAACCTGACGTTATGACTTTTGCAGGTCACAATGCGCACTGTGCAGCTCATGGCGACATGGTGACATGGACAATTTTCTTGTGCGCCTTGGATGCCGCTGCTTTTGCTGCTACATGGGTGTGACAAATGACATTCCATCTGCCTTCTGTACGGTGCCGCATCGTTTGTGCATTGACCTTTGTTGACAGCTACACTGGAGCAGTTCCTTTCCGTTATATCGGCTCAGCCATGCTGCGAACTCTCGTCGCCCCAGCCTATCTGATATGTATCTCAAACTGTATCCAGCCTGTGTAGTAAACACCCATCGACCACTGACCGACGCATGGGGCCGTTTACAGGTGACGGTCTGATTGGAATCGAGGAGTACAGGGTGGACTGCTGCAGTCGACAGGCCTACAGCGAGCTTACAGAGCTCGATCAGGGATACGAGAAACTCTGCAGCGTGAGTAACTCAGGGAGTGGGTAACTGAAACTGAGAGTGAAACCTGAGATCAGGAAAAACTCTGATGAGTGTAAGTACGGCTCTCGCGGGATTAAGCGGTAGGTTTTGCCTTTTTACATTTTCAGCTATATCTCAGAAACTAAACGATATACGATGAAGTCATTTTAGAGGATCATGGCAGGCATGCATACGAATAAATCGATAGCATCTTCAACCCTTAAAAGGTTAAGACGAAGAAAATGTAGCCGGAAATTTACTAAATTTTAACCGCTAAAACCCGCGAGAACTGTAAGTACATAACGCAGACGCTGGATAGGTATATGAGAATGAGACCGCTGAACTAAATCGGTGACGCGAGAAGCAGCACGTAACACATCACAGTCAGCCGTGGTAGAATGTCGATTCTCGCCCCACCGAGCCGACAGACGTGGCGTTCCAGTGGCGAGCTGGCGCCCCCTCTCCTCCCTTTCCTACTCGACATCTGAGGAGCGCGCGGCGCCGACCTTTAGCGACCTTTGGGTACCGCCCACCGGCGAGACGGACCTGGCGGCAGCAAACCATCGGCCGCCAGCCAACTCGGAAACTATCTTAGCGTCAGTGTCGCCTTTAGAAGGAGAGATGGCCAATCAATGCTCGCTGGACAGCGGAGGACAGTCGCGAGTTAGTTGGGTAGTTGGCTCCCTATTTCTCGCCTGATTAACTTAGTTAGAGCTTCCTGGAATACTGGGCCCTACTTGCTCATCATTATTCATAAACGTTAATTAGCAAACTGGAGTCAATAAGGTCAATATGCTTTATGGACATGACGATACGTAAGTCGTGGACGTCGAAGTTGGAGGGTTTCAGAACCCAGAACTAATCAGCTTAGTAAATAAAATAACTGACGTTATTTTTTCGTTTGCTCTCGGTGGACTTTCGGATAGACTTTAGCCTAATTGTATGTCGAGTTCGCTGTGACTGTTTATCAGCCAGCATTCCTCGAGAGTGCATCAGTTCTGAGCTTTGAAATAAGTTAAACCAGGAATGGCGACACAGATAGGATGAAGAAGGAACGTGATATCAGTTGAACGCAGAGTCGGAACCCTGGATGAGCTGTGGGGCATGAGAGTTATACTCTGTGCCTAACTCGCATCAACCTATACCTACGTATGTATTACATACCTTGGCGTTTTGGAACATCGCTCTAAATGTAAACAAGTTTCCCGATGGGCCATGATATTGCTTTAGGCGTTTTCCTTCCGCTGATTCGCTTTATATATATGAACGTAACGCACCTCGCGCCATGCGTTCTCACAGTATGCGTGACAGCTCGAGCACATCGCTGAGTAATGCCTCACACAGGTGAAAACCGAGACATTTCGCAGTCCGAACCGGCCGTGCTATCCGTTCAGAAAGTTCGCCAGCAAGCCACCGGCAAGCAACACACCAGCGAGCGGCGCTGAGGGTTAAACTGCTGCGCCAATATGTGCGACCCGTCCCCCGACGCGCGACGGTCGTTCCCGCTAACGACGACGGCTCTCGGGGGAGTCCCCGTCACCGGGGCCGACGTCGGATGGTGCGTACCGCTCGGGGTCGGTGTCAGTTTGTGCGTGCCACGTGGGGATCACCAGTGGTCAGCTGTGGGTCAGGTGAGGGTCAGGAGGTCACTGAGTCCCTGCGGGTCACAGCGGGTCAGAGAAGGTCAATGAGGACTGGAATAGGTCATCGTAGGTCATAGGGATATGAGAATGACCGAATAATGAGGATGACCGTTTCGGGTCGGCCCCGGTCAGTTGGGTCAGCCCGCTGTGCCCCGCGGTGGTTGCGGTGTCCAGTCCCTCCTCCGTACCTGTCTGACGGGAACCGCCAGCGGTCGGCGGGCGCACCGCGGATCCAATCAATACGGAGCACAGCACGCTGGTCGCGGCCAGCCACTGCACAGTGGGCCGATATGCCATTCTAGCGCGACAGGGCCTGGATCTTCGAACGGAACCCTTGATTTTTCCCGAGTAATTCACGTAAAAAGCGGCCGATCGCAACGAAACTTTCAGTACCCTCGCGATAACTACTTTTACAGCTAAGCTGAAAATTTCATGACCCTGACCTTCATGATCTTTGACCTGTGACCTTCTTTCGAGACCATGTTTGGCCGGAATCGCGATTCAGCGTATGTCGGCTTGCATTAGCCGCGGGTTTGCAGTCTTTTCTTGGTTTAAAGCGTTCAAACATGGGATATTATGTTGCTCCCATGCATTAGAATGGGTGTCAAGGTCACCAGAAGGTCAGGTAAGGTCATTGACCTTTGATGACCTTGGTTCACTTTTTCGAGTTTTACATGTTTCTAGGCTAGTTTTTGGAGCTGAATTCGAATCTAGCAACCATTTGAACATTTACTATGTAGCTTTGGTGCCTTCGTAACATGTTACAAAGCTGTCAGAGGCGGTTGCCACCTACTGCAAATACCCGGCAAAACCCTTACTAGTTGACCTGACCTGACCTGACCCGACCTGGCCTAAATGTATGAAGACATCATCTATGACCGTAAATAATATTATATTCGTGATCAGCACCCAAAAAACCCATAGCAGCCACCCTTTACGACGTTCTAACAGGTCCCGATTTTCCCGACTTTTGGGTCATTGACCTGACCTGGAAGGTCAATCGATGACCTAGGACCTTACAATTGGGTATCATCAGCTTCCTCTTGTCACGGGCAACACGCTCGTCTTTTCCGCGAAGCTCTAGCTCGATCAGGGGCGAAACGGCGGGGGGTCCAACGGACCCCTTCTATACGTTCGCGGCTGGAAAAACACCACTAGGGGCGAGGGTTAAGCCAAATCTGAGGGCTTATTTCAGAAAGACCGCTAAAAGAGCAATTGAATGCACTTTTCCGCAACGATGTAGCTCTATTGGTCCCCGATGTAAGAGCCGGTTTTCGATAAATGTTGATAAATGCAACATTCTACCTTTGATGACCTCTGGTGACGTGACCTTTGACCTGACCTAGAAATGACTAATTACTCCATCTGGAATTTCGGGCGCTCTTTCGAATGCCACTTACTACGTGTCGCCATGTGGCCCAAGAGCCGAGTTAGAAGGGGAGTGTTCAATCAACACCTCCCGGCCCGGCGCGTTTGACGCCGAGCACCGGTCCGGCGCGGGTTGATGTTTTTGGCTGCTACATCCAAAGTCGCAAAAAGTCGCAAAAAATGACTGTCGGATCTTGTAGTGCAATGAATCATTGACATGTAGCGAGATTTTCGAAGCGGTACTCTGCGAAACTTTTTCTTAAAGTCTATTTGTGTGTGACATCAATTATTTGAAATTGTATTTTCGTTTTTAAATCTTTGCGGTGCCTATACATCATAACCAAGTAAGAACTCGCCATTTTCGTGTGGTTAGGTGTGTTCTGCAGACCCGGAGCTATCGTTTGATGTATATAAATGTGGAATTCCTCCTCAAATTGTGATTGTTTTCGTGGATCAAAGATACGTTGTCGAAGAGTGCGGGGGACGAGTTCGGTCCAAACGATTCCGAAGTTCGTGTTTAAGCTGAGTTTTCGCCATGAAATAGCCATTGTGTTGGAAAACAAAGACCACAGCAATGTAGTATGATCATTTTTGAACAAATTGGTATAGGTTTCATTGCACATCCACAAAGTTCGATTTTTTTACCCATGTCGTGCTAGACCTGGCGATCGGCCCTGTGTGCACTGGCTACCTGTCGCCCGCCACGAGCTGTAACTCGGCCGCCTCGCGCTCCGCTCTGTAACTCGGGCGCCACGAGCCCTGTAATTCAGACGCTATACAAGCCCTGTGCTGTAACTCGAAGAATGGTGCGACCAACAGCCGTCACCCAGCTTGGATGGAGTTCGATGCAATAGCTGGCATCTCTTCGGTCCCTATGACGATTTTGACTAGTGTCCTTGTAACTGATGTCCAGCAGTCGCACATGAAAAACAAACTCAACGTCTTACGAGTATAACTCGGGGATTTTGAACCATAGGTGGAGAATTGTGACCAGCTGGGGGTGCTCGGGCGCAGCAAATCCGCCGCCGCCTAGCGGTGACCTTGACCCGCGCCGCCCGGCCGCGGCTCCAAAGCCAAGCCGGCGTGGCCGGCGTGGAATTGGGAGAGCTCGAGCACCCCCAGTCCAGCACAATTCTCCACCCGTGTTTTGAACTGCATGCTAATGAGCTTTATCGTCAGTCTACAATAAAAAATCACCGCACCTTACCGGGCTTAATTTCGTCTTTTGCTGTCATCAGAAAAGGAACACTAAATTTCTTTTACAATAGAAAACAGTAATAGGCACTTTTAAGAAACTGTTTCTTTTGTTAGAGATTAATTTCAGGTGTCCTCAGTAGCGTTTGATTTCGCAATCCACAATTCCACCTTTTCTCACCTCACCTGCCACCATCAAAACAAAACTCTTACACCTCGCCATTTTCTCGCCGACGCTCCCGATCATTTATTCTCCCGGTAACCTGACCTGTCCCTCATCCCCATCCTGTGACCTGGCGGCGCTCCTTCACCGAGCCCCCTCAGCGCTCCCCTTCTGCCGGAATGCGATCCGATCTTGGCCGGCCAGCCACCGGTGCGTCTCCTGACCACGGACAAATTGGCATTGTTCGGCCGCCAACACGACTGTTGTGGCGCGCCCATCGAACGGCACGCCGCCGGTGGTATTTTTACGAACGCGGCTCACTTCGCGCCGCTCTAAAAGTGACCCGGTTCAAAGCGGCCGCCGGTGCAGTCAGCAGTGGTTCGGAACGGTGTATTGGAATGGTAGCTAGAGCCAGGCCACGTTCGCTAAGGATTAGAATACGAGCGATTTAGGTATTACACGTGAATCCATGCTAATATTATTGTCAGCTCATCTGTCTGTTCTCATTGGCTGAATTATTTTATTGCCACTCAAGACGCTTTCTTGTCCCCGTAGGAATGTTTTCTGTGATCTTATGGGGTTGAAGCTTTCTTAATTTTCTTTTCTTCTGAAAGTAAAATGGCCACTGGCTACTGGTCACTCACCAATACATCTCCAAGGAGCAGCCAAAGGCTAATCTGACACGTTTTTGCAGCCAGACTGTGTCTGAGCTGTTCCCTGAAGTCGCCACAGCCCGCTGATAAAGCCACTAGCCCGTGACGCTGTTTCATCCATATTGGCGGCGGCCGAGGCGGCCCCGGTGGCCGGCCGCTGCCATATACGGCCACCGGCCCTATTGCAGGCCGTCCCCAGTGGGAGGCACGGGTTTGATGCGCATTATTACTGGCCGCCGCTCCCGTCTCCCAGCGGACTAGCGACATGGAAAGTCACCTCCCGTAGCCGCCGGCGGCGACGGCGTAATCGGATTACGCAACCACTGCCTCCGGGCTACCGAAATCCAATTGGGAAATACATTAGGGGTCAACTGGCGAGAATAAGCTGGGATCAAAATCATTTCTCTTATTGTTTTCATTATATTATTTAACAGGAACAGGGAACTTCCTGGGAAAGTAATAGTGCATAGTTCTACATACACTGGAGGCGTAGTTATAAACAATGGCGTCTAAAAAACAGTCTGCGTTTGCGAACACCAATCAGAACATCGGAGCCTGTTTGGAAACAAACGAAACACGTCAACCTCTGCCATTTTCTGTGTCATTTGTTAGTCGAACGACGCGAGCTGATGTCTGTTTTGTCTCCATCTGTCAGTTGGACAGTTTAACGCACGGCCGACTGCCAGCCAGCTAATTAACGATGGTCGGGCGTGTCTACACGATAAGCCAGTGGCACCCACCCGTCCGGTCGCCGTTAGAGCGATAGCTCGTCCATCTTCCCGTTGGCAGTCACATGACTCGCCTGTCTTCCCGTGAGCGGCCGTATGACTCACCCATCTTTTTGTTGGCAGCCGGAGGACAAGAAGAAGGGCGGCATCGACATCAAGCGCTTCCAGGAGCTGTACGCCCAGTTCATCGGCAACCCTGACGAGACGATCGGCGCCGTCTACCTGTTCGGGCCGCTGCAGGAGCTCAGCTAAGCTGCCGGAGCTCCGAGAGCTGAACTGCCGTCACGAACTGCGCCGGGAGCCGGACTCCGCCGCGTCCGCCGAGCTGACTGTCCGTCGGACCGCGAGCCGCCGCCGCGCCGCGCCGCGCCGCGCCTCTGCTCTGACCCCACCTCTGACCCGTGTGTGTGCCCGCGGCGCCTCGCGCTGCAGGCCGGTGCAGACGAGCCGGCGGGTCCTGGGACCAGCGGCGCGGGCCAGGCGCCACCACACCGGCGCGGCACTCAGACGGCGCTTTATGTGGCTCTTTGTGAAAACGATGTTTCTACCGTACTCTCATTAGGCCAATTGGTTTATGTGCGTACGTCACTGTTGATTGTCAATGCCATAAAATAAAATTAACCCAAATTGACATCAAAACGTTTTAAGAATGTTTTCTGTGGTCATTGACTCTCCCCTACTCTTGAACTCCTATAAAAACCCCTTTCGGAATCCGTGTCACGTATACCTAATTGTCTGGTTTTGCATCCTTGCTCAGTTAATACAACAGGACATTTGTGAAATATTGAAGTCAGGAACGATTTCCGATCAGTTGTAGCTAGTTAGTACCTTAGGAAAAAACGACTCATTGATAGGTATTGTTGAGCCGCACCTAACTATACCGACTACATGAGGACAGTGCGACGGCATCTCTATGAGCTATGAAATTTGAAACAGTGAGGCGCGGAGGAAAAAGTTCCTTGTATATTAAGAAAAAAACAGAAACAGCGCAATATTTAAAGAAATATTTATTTTATTATAATGAAGTGTAGAGTGAGGCACACAGATCAATAAAGATTCATGATGTTGTGGAAAAAGGCACACATGATTCATTTAGCGACGAGTATGAACAGTCCTTTTATGATATACGCTTGCATTGTAACAGCCCATCATCAACGAAACGTATCGGCGCTATCTACATCTTTTGACGCCATTTTGTAAGCATGCTTTATTGCTTATCCATGTGCCTGCACACCTTTCCCACAGCTATATTCTATACAGGGTAACAAGTTCATCGACACTTAATCTTAAATACATAACTAATAGATCAAGCTTACGACACATGTTGCTTTTAAAATTGACATGAAAATAATCACAATAATGATATCAATGATTTGATAATAACGCGAGTATTTTCGTTGTTTGTTAAATATTTGAGCAATTATATCGATATGACATCGGGCGGCATTGTTTTGCTTTTCAGTGCTAGTTTGCTTGAGTACCGGTATCACATTTCAAGTGTGGTGTCGTTTGTTTACCTGTAACAAGAAAGGACGAAAAGAGGCGAAAGAAATTCGAACATGATCATGAAATTCGAAAGTTATTCGAACATGATCAATGAATTCTGAAATTGCTAAATGTGTTCCGAGTCCTTTGCAAGAGCTACACAAGGACATATAAGGGAAAATAATCTTGAAGCCTGGAGGCAGTCCAAAAATATCTATTGGTGAACTAAAGCTCTTTTGCTCGTGCCCTGCACCACTACAGTGAGTGTGACTCGATATCGCAATTTAGTGCATTTGACATGCTTCTAAGGCTATCATATCACATTGATTTGAGTCAGCACACCACGTCCAAAAAAGATTGACATTAAGAGCACTTATTAATTTTCTGTTAATCTTTTTCATCCATAAATTGTCAGCGTTAGGTATTATATCTACTTTAAAGTTAGAAAAACATTTAAGATTTGAAGCTTGAACTTTTAATTTATTTGACTTAATTCGTGTTAGGTAAACACGGTCGGCTAATTTTAAAAGTAATGTTTTGCTGTCTTTAGAGGAGAAAATAAAAACAGGAAAAACCTACAAATTTAATTTATTTTGCTGAGTGAGGCGATGGACATTTCAGGCTAAAATGAGCTTTTCAGTCGACACCCGCCATTTTGCTGAAATAATTTTTACGACAATTCCAATTGAATAGGATCAGGTGACAGAAATTATTTCACGCGTAAAATACACTTAAAATATGTGATAAAAGTGTAGAATGCAAACAACCATCAATATCGCGGTATCGCACACAGCTACCTACTACAGGTAGCTGTGTGTTCATTCATCAACTATCGTCACCGACCAAAAGTAGCGCGAGATAGGCGTTCGAAGTCGATCGGTAGCTAACAAGGCTCTGCAAAACCTTGCTTGAGTCAAACGCCACCCACTGCTATAGAAGAGGTCCCCTACACAACCCCACGAGTTCCTGTCACACTGCATGCTGGGACTGGGACAATCATAATGGATCGACACATTTCTTCTCAGCTCGACCTCTGCTCATGCCCCTCCATTATTATCCGGGTTGTTTTGTGACTGGCGTTACACTTTGTGTTCCCTTTGTGTCGCCCTTGAAGTGGTTCAGAATGAAGAAGTAGATTAGCTCAAAGACAGAGACGATGGAAAATCCCATGAAGAGGCCCAGGAGTCCACCGATGTTGGCTGGAAAGAAAAGTGAACAAGCACTGGCTTACACCAGAAAACGATATCATGCCACAAGGACTAGCGCTGCTGTTCAGAAATAGGCCCAGGGAGTAGACAGAAGGTATACAGATAGATAGGGCCAAAATAAAACGCTGCACTGTACTGACTGCTAAAGCTATCGACTCGAGTTTGACTGCCCTCTATTGAACGACGTGGAACTACTAGTTGGTGAGGGCAGAAGAAGCACGATGTCTTATGCTTCATGTTTGGGGCCTGTGTAAAGTCTGTCATTTAATATTGACTGGGATCGGCTAAGAGTACCTTTTAAATAATGGCATCATTGCAAATAGGGTAGACCGGGGCAAGTCGCCCCGCCGAGGTAAAACGCCTCACCGATGTTTCTCGGAACTGGCAAGGTTCTGGAGAAACAGCATCTCTTCTATAAAACGTGCGCTATATGATCATTATATGAGCAGACTGGAAAGAAATTGTGATGACTCTTTAGGGAGATATAGCCAAAAATGTGTTTTTGGAGTGATTTTTATGTTTTGTTGTCAACTTATGCATCATGGCGTTCTTTTATGGTCCACATCAGGTTAACGACTTTTATGTATTTTGAACAACTTTATCTAACGCTTATAATGGCGGGTTGGTTCGTGTTAAATTATGCCCTGCTGGAGTGCAAGGCGTTGTTCTCTGACAGAACAACGTGATGGGGTAAAACGCCCCAGTAGGTCGCGGGGCAAAACGCCCCATGGGGCGTTTTACCTCATGTGTTGTTCGGACTACCCACTTCCTAATGTTCGGTAGCTGGCTAACAGTAAGTTTCTATGCATTTATATGTACTTTTCTCAGCAACGGGATGGCAAAGGGAGTATTTTGTTCACATTTCCCTTGCAATAATTTATTATTTGGCCTTATGAGGCAGGTGAAAAACCTGCTCATACAATAGTGTCATAGCTGAACACCTGATAGGATGGAAGGAGCTAACTTCAGTGCCGTGCTTCCCAAGGTCTATCAGACCTCTCATATAAGATTTAAGTCAACTAGCATGTTTAATCTTTAATCTAGAGTATGGGGCTTCTTGCCCCAGGCCGTGGGGCGTTTTGCCCTGGGGTTGGGGCAAAATGCCCCATTTGCAGTTGCTTCACAAATCACTTCCTAGCTAGGAGTCCGATCATAAGTGAATGAATTTGAGGTGTGGAATTTAAAGTAAAATGTCCAAAGAACGCATTGAGCACAAAGTTAGCCTTCCAGGTGATGTGGGACAAAAGTTATGTAGCAAAATAAATTATCTGGGGCGTCTTGCCCCAGGCTACCCTATTTCAAACTATGTGCCCACACACATTTTCCGACTTCAAAAAAGCCAGCTTACCGATTAGCTGATCGTTGGTGAAAACGACATCACGTTTGTAGCGGGTGGCCGAATTCGTCTTGAAATAAAAGTGAACCTTTGCCATGTTTTCCCTAAAAAATGAGGTTGTCAGCAAATGAACATGAGCATTTGTTAGGCGTTTGCGTAGTCTTGCTAATGAAACAATGTCGACGCAATCAATCATTTCCTCTTTAAAATGTTGCAATAAAGTTCTGACACTTAAAATGTGCGCATGAAACAGCATAAAATTAGGTAACTTAAAGGTAGTGTGCCACCTTTGAAAGATTTCCCATTTTATTTTTCCTAGGATAAGAAGCTTCTGTTTTTACCTAATATCGCAAAAAAAAAATCAAAAATGCCGCCTGGAATAGTGCCTTTTTCGCCTAAAAGTTTTTCGGTTTTTAGATATGTATAACAACTGTAGTGGGCTCACCTGCAAACAGGCGTCGGGCAACAATCGCGAATGCGGCGCACTTGTGACAATAAGCAAAGGTCATTATAGTGTTACGACCATACGACGTACGGGAATGAGTTATCAGCTGTCTAATCGTAGACAACACAATGTCGAGCCTTAAACTGTAAGCCCGTATTGGTATTGTTTCTTTTATTTGGCTGTCGAACATTATTTATGGTTTGAAATATTATTTTATGTAAAATAATTGATATGAAAAAGCCGTCTTATAAGTTATGACCCCATTTCACCACACGCAAGTGGCAGAAATGACAATGATCAGCTGACGCATTTTTCTTGACCGAAGTCAGAGCGCGCGGCCCGACGCACCACGCGTATTTGGAAATTCCGACCTCGACGAGCATCAGAAGCCACCTAACAGGCGTGTTCGAAACCGCAGGAGATGATGATGAACGGGTTTATCGAAACTTGATTGGATGAGCATATCGGTAATAGCGATTTCAGTGTGTGCATTTATTGTTCATAGTGGTGTGAAATGTGGTTGGGGTACGACCGACAACCCGTCGGGGCGAATTTCGCACTGGGGTACTCAAAATTTGAAGAATTTAAGACGTTTCCATGAGTTTTGAAGGTATGGATAAGTTCTAAAAATCCGGTTCTCCTTATCTGGGCCATTAACTCCATACGGTCCAAGAAAGCTGGCACACTACCTTTAAGTGAAGACGTTCCGTTGAGCCGGATGGCACACGTTCATGTGGTCTTACTGTGCATACTGGACGGCCATGTCGTACAAGTTAGCCGACAGTGTGGCGTTGGTCGAGATCAGCTCCATGGTCTTCCCACTGGTCACCATAGGGCAGTGCGGCTGGATCATGTCGTCCTGCACCACGGAAGGGTAACATCGGGTAACAGAGAGGTAATGTCAGGTAACTGTTATCAGGTATAACAACAGAAGGCAACAACCGGTCAACTTCTTCGATCAGAAGCTAACAAGAAGCCGCAGCTATTCACCCCATTGAATCTATTCTCTCTCTCGACCGTAAATACAAGTATAATAAAATAGCACATTAAACCATAGCTGTCCTTATCTGACCGAGCTACATGCAAGAATTTATGTGCGCCTATTCAAGTGTTATTTCTATTTCATCATTGTCTTAGTGCTTATGCCTGCAACAA